ATTTTTCCAATTTTCCCCAGATTTTTCCTATTTTTCCCATTTTTCCCATTTTCCCCGGATTTTTCCCAGATTTTCCCCATTTTCCCACCTTTTCCCGGGGGGCTCCGTCGCAGGCGCGCAGCTGCCGGGAGCTCTCGGTCACCAAGGGACAGATCCAGGATTTATCCGGGAGCGATTCCAGGGAATCCTGGAAAAACTGGCACAGGGAACGGGGACCTGGGAATTCCGGGAATTCCAGCCGGGAATCCCCAATTCCCATGGAAAAATTCCCTTTGGAATTCTCGTTTTCCACCCAAAAATCCCTTTGGAATTCTCATTTTCCACCCAAAAATCCCTTTGGAATTCTCGTTTCCCACCCAAAAATCCCTTTGGAATTATCATTTCCCATCCCGAATCCCCATGGAAAATCCCTTTGGAATTCTGGTTTTTCTTTCCAAATTCCCATGGAAAACCCTTTGGAATTCTGATTTTTCCATCCCGAATTCCCATGGGAAAATCCCTTTGGAATTCTCATTTCCCATCCCAAAATCCTTTTGGAATTCTCATTTCCCATCCCAAATTTCGATGGAAAATCCCTTTGGAATTCCGGTTTTCCATCCCCAAACCCTTTGGAATTCTGGATTTTCCATCCCAAAGTTTTTTTTGAATTCTGGATTTCCCATCCCAAAATTTTTTTGGAATTCTCATTTCCCATCCCAAAATTCCTTTGGAATTCTGGTTCCCCATCCCAAAAATTCCTTTGGAATTCTCATTTCCCATCCCAAATTCCCAGAAAAAATCCCTTTGGAATTCTGGTTTTCCCTCCCAAATTTCCATGGAAAAACCTTTGGAATTCTCTATTCCCATCCCAAATTCCCAGGGAAAATTCCTTTGGAATTCTCAATTTCCCATCCCAAATTTCCTTGGAATTCCAAGAACCCTTTGGAATTCTCATTTCCCACCCCAAAAATCCCTTTGGAATTCTCAAATTCCCATTGCAAATTCCCATGGAATTCCCACAAATCCCATGGAAATGCCAAATTCCAATGGAAAATCCCTTTGGAATTCTGAGTTTCCCCTCCAAAATCCCTTTGGAATTCTCATTTTCCCATCCCAAATTCCCTTTGGAATTGTCAATTCCCGCTCCGAATTCCCACGGAATTCCAAGAATTCTCTGGAATTCTGGATTTCCCACCCCAAAATCCCTTTGGAATTTTCAATTCCCATCCCAAATTCCCATGGAATTCAAAATCCCTTTGGAATTCTGGTTTTCCATCCCAAATTTCCATGGAAAAACCTTTGGAATTCTCTATTCCCATCCCAAATTCCCAGGGAAAATTCCTTTGGAATTCCCAATTTCTCATCCCAAATTTCCTTGGAATTCCAAGAACCCTTGGGAATTCTCATTTCCCACCCTAATATCCCTTTGGAATTCTCAAATTCCCATCCCAAATTTCCATGGAATTCAAAATCCCTTTGGAATTCTGGTTTTCCCATCCCAAAATCCCAAGGAAAAAAACCTTTGGAATTCTGTTTTCCCATCCCAAATTTCCATGGAAAATCCCTTTGGAATTCCGGTTTTCCCACCCCAAAATCCTTTTGGAATTCTCAAATTCCCATCCCAGATTCCCATGGAATTCCCACAAATCCCTGGGAATGCCAAATTCCCATCCCAAGTTCCCATGGAAAAATCCCTTTGGAATTCTGGTTTTCCCATCCCAAAATCCCAAAGAAAAAAACCTTTGGAATTCTTTTTTCCCATCCCAAATTTTGATGGAAAATCCCTTTGGAATTCTGGGTTTCCACCTCAAAATCCGTTTGGAATTCCAGGGATCCTTTGGAATTCAGGTTTCCCATCCCAAATCCCCATGGAATTCCCACCAATCCCATGGAAATGCCAAATGCCCATCCCAAATTTCCCATGGAAAATCCCTTTGGAATTCTGATTTTTCCATCCCAAATTCCCATGGAAAAATCCCTTTGGAATTCTCATTTTCCACCCAAAAATCCCTTTGGAATTCTGAGTTTCCCCTCCAAAATCCCTTTGGAAATCTCAATTTCCCATCCCAAATTCCCTTTGGAATTTTCGATTCCCATCCCAAATTTCCATGGAAAAACCTTTGGATTTCTCATTTCTCATCCCAAAATCCCTTTGGAATTCTCAATTTCCCATCCCAAATTCCCATGGAATTCCCACAAATCCCATGGAAATGCCAAATTCCCATGGAAAAATCCCTTTGGAATTCTGAGTTTCCCCTCCAAAATCCCTTTGGAATTCTCAATTTCCCATCCCAAATTCCCTTTGGAATTGTCAATTCCCATCCCAGATTCCCATGGAAAATCCCTTTGGAATTCTGGTTTTCCATCCCAAATTTCCATGGAAAAACCTTTGGAATTCTCAAATTCCCATCCCAAATTCCCATGGAATTCCCACAAATCCCATGGGAATGCCAAATTCCCATGGAAAATCCCTTTGGAATTCCGGTTTCCCACCCAAAATCCCTTTGGAAATCTCAAATTCCCATCCCAAATTCCCTTTGGAATTGTCAATTCCCACTCCGAATTCCCACGGAATT